ACATTTCTCTTCTTTCCCTCTCTCTAAAAAGAAATAATTAAGACTTTGGAACCGACTCGAGAAAACTAGATTCATTTTCCAAGAGAATGTCCCAAACTGTTCAAAACTGTTTTAAAATGAGCAGTGCGTGACAAGGCTGAAGAGGAGAGGTTAAGAAGTTAACCAGTGAATAGATCAAACCTCAGCACTGCAAGAAGGCTGCGTTCTTGAAAGTGAAACCAAAATCAGTGACCGATGATTGAATCCTCTGGCCTAAATTTAGCACAGACAGGCATGCAAAAGCACATTCAGATTGACGGCTTTAAGCATGCCTAAATTTGCACCAAATTTAGGATTAGGTTTTTGCATCCATTTGTACACAAAAATCATTTCAGGAACCTTTGAAGTCTATGTTCAAATGAGGAAACACTAGGGACCAATATGACCTCACTTTTTTCCCATTGCATTTTCTCATCAGTTTAGCAGTAGTATTGGACTCCTGCCACTTTCTTTACTGTGTTTGTAACAACCATCACACCACAGTTGATAACCTTTACTGAAGAAAATCAGATTGCTTTGAGGGGTCTTTAAAAGGTCTTGAAACCTATCATTGGTTGGATCACCTAAATGCCCTTGCACTGCTTCTGTTACTGTAACCCATTAATCGCAAAATCTCATATAGATAACTATTGAGTTTGGTTAGAAATATGATAATATTTATCCCCCCTCATGATCCCTGTCATGGAAAAGTAAGGTATGAACAATGTATATTATTTGTGCAACCAGCTCAAGGGCCCAGCAAGAGATGACTGCCCTCTTTTTCCACAGACCACCATGAGCGGGTTGCCGTAGGATAAGATTGTATACTTTTGGCTCTTGAGGAAATGCTGTTTAAAGGTTCACCTACAATTGAAAAGAAAAAAGAATGCTGTAGCTAGAAAAGAAGCACAAGACACCGTCAACTGGACCTAAATGTTTGTGCTTTCCATACCACTTTTCTTCTTATAAGAAAGCTTTTCTTCACATCATGCATGGTTAGGCAGTGTCATTCACTGTTACAATGTTAGAATGGCTGCCTATTTGGATGGCTTTTACAAAAACATTGGATAAATTCAGGGAGGTTACAGCCATTAATGACTCCTAATCAGAATGGCTATATGGGTTGCTTCCAGCATAGAAGGCAGAGCATCTGTAGATTCCAGTTGCAGGGAAACATGAGACAGAGGGTGTGGTGGAACCCATATCTTCCAGATGGGCTTCCTCGAGTCTAGCTGCTCTGTGAGCAGAATGCTGCACTAACAAAACCTTGGTGTAAGACAACAAGGGTCATTTCACGTTCCATTTTAACATGGGAACCATTTAAGGTGGTGTCACCCCCACACACACACACACACTCCATGTAGTCTGAAGTGGTTGAATTCACTCTATATCTTATAATTTTACTTTGCTGTGTGGATTCCACTTCAGACTCAGCAGGATGTTTTTAGTAGTTTTGTTGTAGTTAATTTATTGATCTCTCAGTGGTGTCACCCCACACACACACACTCCATGTAGTCTGAAGTGGTTGAATTCACTCTATATCTTATAATTTTACTTTGCTGTGTGGATTCCACTTCAGACTCAGCAGGATGTTTTTAGTAGTTTTGTTGTAGTTAATTTATTGATCTCTCTCTCTCTCTCTGTCTCTCTCTGTCTGTCTGTGTGTGTGTGTGTGTGTTGTGTGTGTGTGTGTGTTGATGAATGTGAGGATGAAGGAGAGATCTGGCTAGAAGTGCCAGAGCAGCTCTAACTGGAGCCACCTAAGGAAGTGCTGCAAGCCTTTACACGATAATGAATGTGAGGACGAAGGAGAGATTTGGCTAGAAGTGCCAGAGCAACTCTAACTGGAGCCACCTACAGTAAGGAAGTGCTGCAAGCCTTTACACGATAGCTCAGAGGCGGTCACAGCGACCTTCCTCGATGACAAGCATTCTTACCCAGCTGTGAGAACAGAGGAAGCAGAGACAATTGAATCAACCATTGGAAGATGAGTTGCAAGCCATCCAGCACATAGCTTGCTTCTCCCATAACACAGGGTAGAGTTAAGGGCCTTTGAGGCCTCCAGAAACGTGTATGAGGAAGGTCCAGTAACCGTACCCCATCTTTGGACTTGAGAACTGCCCAAAATCAGACTGACTGGAGTGGATTAAAGGGAGATTTGAACATTTAAAGTAGTTTGCAGCTATCTTCATAGTCTGGTTGTTAAAGCTGAGTTGCAGAAGAAACTTTGACTCCAACCTTGATGTCAAGACCCATTGGTCCTTTTGACAACTTCCTCATGGAATTGGGAGCAAAAAGAATGAGTAATTGGATGAAAAAGGAAGATGTCACTTTGACACATCTATAATTCCTGAAGGATATTCCCAGTCAAGAATAATCACTTAACAGCTTAAAATAAAGCAGGAGGCCTTATGCTTACTGCCTCACCAGTATGACATATTCTTGAGTCTGAATGTCTGTGTCTATTTTTGCTATAAGTTTCCTTCCTTCCTTCCTTCCTTCCTTCCTTCCTTCCCTTCCTTCCTTCCTTCCTTCCTTCCTTCCTTCCTTCCTTCCTTCCTTCCTTCCTTCCTTCCTTCCTTCCTTCCTTCCTTTCAACAACAACTGTTCATTTCTCAGCAATATTGTTTGGAATTATATAAAAAAAAACCTGAATACCCAAACAAATGGAATTAAAGTGTCAATCATTCTTCAACCCACCCCTTGGATGTTCAAGAATTTTTGACATTGATTTGCAAGCACAAACTTGCACCCTTGTACTAACCAAAGCTGGTCTGATTAAAAGATAGCACCTTTTTTTGCCACACTTTGCCTCTTAGCAAAATTGAACAGATCTGTGTGCTTGCAAAGTAGTCTATTTTTCCCCAACCATTTTCAGTTTAAAACAAATTGGCACAGTTGTCTTTAAATTAGAAAAAACAAAACCACTCTGCCTCTTTTCCAATTTATGCCTGTGCCAGGTAGCTATGGCAGAAAGCTGTTCATCTGAACACAGCAGCAGTAAGGGAAGAGCTGCTTGACCTTCAATGTGAATCCCTTCCAAATAACTTTTTTTCCAGTTGCTTTTCTTCAAATGATATCCCATCTCTCTCTATCTTTCTTTCCCTCCCCCCTCTTTCTCATCCCCTTGAAGACAAAATGTGCTGTTGGGGCAACTTTGAGCAAGCAAGAAGAATTAAAGCATCTCTCACCTTGTAAACCTGGGCTAGAAACAAACCCACCAAAATCAGATGGGGTTTGTGTGGAAACATATTGTTTGTCCAGGTGTGATGTGTAATGCCCAATGCAAACAAAGCATGGCCTCTACTACAAACCTAAACATTCACATTTAACAAGGCCACCAAGAATTTGTTTCATTTTGTTTTGTTTTTTGGACAAAATGTATGATGTCTGCTGTACATCAGTCTGATGAAGAATTGCTTTTCAAGCTGATTGCATTCAAATGTTGTGTTAGAAAATGTGTTGTGTGAACGAGTGAGGTATTTATACCACTCTTTTGCTCTTTACTATATATTTTTTTAAATCATGATATTCAGCAACCACATCTCGAGAAGTAGGAAAGCCAAAGGATTGTTATTTTCCAAGGGAGATATTAGTCTGGGAAGTGCAAATCAGATTGGTTTCTGTAATATGGTGGACCAAATGAAATCAGTTTTAACTCACACCATGACTTGAATTACCTCCAGTGATGTTAATGCTTGACACAAAATACAAGTTATTTGGATTTATTATGAAACATAAGGTGACATTATTACAAAGCAGTTGTAAAGCCACAATATATTTCTACAAAGCATTTAAGAACCAAAATAATTATTATTTTGCAACTATGAAAACAAATACCATATTCAAATCTTCTTCCTTTTGCCTACATAAGAAGATCCAAGAAGTCATCTGTGCAGAAAGCAAAACATCAGGGAAAGGGTCCAAACCCAGTTATCTCAAGGTTAACATTGGAGTGACTTATTAAGTGATATTTTGGATGTAGGCCATCACTGACAGCAAAACTGTACAGTTGTAATACAGATTTTATACATAAAAGTGGAGAGTTCTGGCTTTGATCATTTTAAAAAGATACATTCAAAAACAAGCCTTGCCATTTTTACAGCAGTCCCATCTTTCCATATTTTTCTACTTAATCGTTATATTATTATGCCAAAATGCAGAAATAATGGATGGATCAAATACATTCAACTGCATAACCAGGTTCCCCTCCACCCAAAAGTAGTATTTCCATAGTCATACTATATCATATCAAGCTATATATATATCACTCTATTAAAACTATGGTTGTGTATTTACAACTGTGTGCATATATATATATAATATAATATACATTCTTTATTATAAGGAAGGAAGAAAATAATTGCACATACTGTAATAACAAATTATAAGGTAGGATTCTATATTTCAAAGTGCCTGATTACTAACAGTGTAAAATTAAAATGTAAAAGGTTATTCCTTTTCTTTATGCTTCTTCAATAAATGAACAACAGTTCATCATGTACCTCTCTTCACAAGGCAATGTAGGAGTTATTTTAGTAAAACTCAACTTGTTTCTCTGTGGAGGGAAATATGACAGGCCCCACTCCCTTTGCAGTTATTTTGTGAAAGAATGAAAACCACCTGCAGTTCTTCTCCTGCTTTCCAGCACATACTAAAGCAATAGTAGAACTGGATCATCACCATCATAATTTTAGAATTGCAGATTGGACCCTATAATCAAGTCCAGCCCCTGTCAAGGAGGCACAGTGGGGAATCAAACTCCCAACCTCTGGTTTTGCAGCCAGATGCCTAAACCAATGAACTATAGAGCTCATAATTTATTTATTTATTTATTTATTTATTTATTTATTTTATTTTATTTTTTGGACTTATATACCGCCCCATAGTGCTACAAGCACTCTCTGGGCGGTTTACAATTTCATTATACAGGCTACACATTGCCCCCCCAGCAAGCTGGGTACTCATTTTACCGACCTCGGAAGGATGGAAGGCTGAGTCAACCTTGAGCCGGCTACCTGGGATTTGAACCCCAGGTCGTGTTTTAGGCTTAAACTCTCAAAAACCCCTGTCAGTATAGATAGTGGCCATGCCGGCCAGATGGTTCTGGAAGTTCTCATCCAAAAAGTAACTTTTCCAAACTCTGTTATGCAGTCTTCACTCACAATGTGTTTTGAATAGAATATACAGTGTATTGTGGGTTTTATCATATTATGGACTTTCAATCCAGTTTTTCCTAGAAGGAAAAAGTGTTGGGGATCAATTTGATTAGTAAAGTTTCCTTTAATTACAGTTATGCCAAGACATTCTCAAGATCATAACATCTAAAAAACGTGTAGCAAAAATACATGCTATAAAATTGTTCCACAATATGAAATACCTCCAGAACGAGATGAAAGAACTGTTCAACTTGATGGCAATACTTTGTACTGAAATATTATGTAAAAAGAGATGCAAAATATATATGCAAGCAAACAGAATGCCAAGGCCAACAGTTGACATTTCAACTTCTTTCAAGCAATTCAAATATTTCAGTGCTAGTCTTTTTCGTTTAAATGATGGAATGCACAGCATCCCTTAAAAAAAAAACAAGAAAGGTGGTGTGGTTCACATGTGATGCTCAACTGTAGTGCAACATTATGAGAACATGCCTAGCCTCCACCTTTGGGGTCTGACACTCCCCACATGCGCGTACACACGCGCAGAGCTCTCCTCCTTTCCCCAGGAGGGGAAATTTGGAAGCTTAGATTTACATTCTTTTAACCATGGTTTGTTATATCACAGGAGCGTGAGGGAAAGTCATTAAATACAATTTTTTATTTGCTGGAAACAAGCCAGCTCAGACCATGGGCTATGAAAATTGATTATTAAACAGGTATGATAGTTAAAATAAACTGCAGTTTAGCACCTGGATGGTCAACCCTGCTGCATCCCAGGGTTCCTTTATACTGTACAGTCTTAGTTGGTGCACTGAGGTCCATTCCTTCCTGGAGAAGGCAGATTTGGCCATAATAATCTCTGCCTTAATTATGACCTAGTTAGATTGCTGCAGTGTCCTCTGTGTGGAGTGGCTCCTAAAGAATGTTTTGAAACTGCATTTAATACGAAATGCAGTAGCCAGACTCCTCTGGCCTTTGCTTTGTTGCTCAAATTGTATTTGTCTTGAATCAACTGCATTGACTTCTGATTTGTTTCTGAGTGCAATTCAACCTGCTGGTTCTTAAAGCATTAAATAGCTGCTGCCTAGGGCATCCCAGGATCTGTATTGCAATAAAGTCACTTTTCACCTCTGAATTGAAAGACCACCTGTGCATAGTTAACTACAATAAACATGAACTGCAGCCATCTGAAGTTATGTTTTCCACTCTCCACCTGCAGGTAGATTCCAAAACAGAAAGAGAGCCGAAAAGGTGACAAATGTGGACAGGGAAACTATTTCCTGGAGGGAATGAACTGATGAGGAAGCAGCTTTCTTCCAGATCCCTCTCTGTAACTATCCCCTGCTGTCAGGTTCGAACCGTGACTTAGTCTAGATAATGTGTAATTACCTCAGATTGCACATCAACTAGAACTTCACTGTAGAACAATAATGCCACTGTAGAATAAAAACATTCATAATATTATTACAGTATCCAAAACTATGAACAGCTTTATGTCCAGTGTTTACCAACATAATGCCCATCACCTTATACCCCACAGCCTTTAATCTGCAACAACTATCACTCCTAATTACTCTATTCAGGCTAAAATCCTACATATACCTACCTGAGAATAAGCTCTACTGAACAGAGTGGCACACATTGTTGAATACATGTGTACAGGGTTGTTCCCAGTGAATCACGAGTGTGGATTATTTTCAGTTATGCACAGAAAGGGGTGGAAATGACACTCTTCCCTACCTTGATCAGGACATGATGAATGCTATTTTGTATGAGTCTGTATGAGTCTAAATAGCTCAATAAAGACTTTAGAGAGCACACATTCCTGAAATATTTAAATAACAGCTCTAGCATAAGATGGTTTTGCTTCACTTAAATTGGTAGGACTAAACTATAATCCCAGGTACAGTTACCTGGGAATAATACCAAATAAATTCTGCAAACATATACCTGTTCACATAATTTGTACATTTGTGTTCATATGTACAAAGTGGTATCTCTGCCATAAAAGTGCACTATCTGAATTTGTACTTGGCAGCACTATGTTTGGAACAGTCACGTCATAATAAAACTGAATTAATTAATCCCGGACATTGCCCTGAGTTGTTTAGCAAGCTAGCTACAACATGAAGCACATTAACAGAAGAACTTGTTCTACCAATCACCCTCTGTAGGGTAGAAGCATTATGTGGATTGTGTCGTTCATGTGCTACAGGTCTTGTCTGCTGGTGGTATCTTAAAAATGCAGAAGCAGTCTACATTCACAGTGACCAGAGTTCTACAATCTTCCTTTGGCCAAAGTCATTAAGTCCGGCAAATCGTTTTAGTTCTGTGTCACGCTACAGTCTGTACTCATCAGTTGGCTTGATGATCACTTCGAAGATGCATTGCAGTAGGTTCAAAAAACTGAAAGGAAAAATTCAAAGGAAAATTCAGTCAAATACTCCCTAAAGGGCAATCAATCAGCCACACAGTTACTATTGATTTTCATTTGTCTCAGAAAGCTCAAATCAGAAGCATATTGTATAGAAGAATCATAGCTGTCTTGACTCAATATAGCCTCATAGTAACTATGCATGGCAGTGACATTGTGGGTTAAAAACTCACACACACACTCTTCCCAGCTTGATAAGGGCTTACATTCCTCATGCTAGTAATGGTTTAGCTCACACTGTTAAAAACGATATAGCAAAAAAGAGGTGGTTTAACTTATTTACTTTTTTTCAAATCAAAGCAATAACCATAGTGGCCAAAACCAAATCATTTCTGAGAATTAAAGGAAACCCGCTGAATCAGAGGAACGTAACGTAAGTACTAATTTACAAAGTTTCTACAGACTATGTAGAGCTGTAATTGGGACAAACAACTGGATACAAGTCAATATATTCCTTACACATTACACATGTGAAATATTAAGAAAACACGATAATATGTTCCATGTAGCTGGATCAGAAGAAGAGTAAAGTAATATATTCTGCTTTACAGTTAGCATTACTATTACAGCACAGTGCAAATGTACATTGTCCCCTTACCCCACACTTAGTCCACAGAAGCAGATGTCTCAAGTCCAAAGCCTAAAAGCAACTGGCTACTTGTCTTTAATTTCCTTTCCCATTAACAAAGGTATGGCAGCACTGCATTTCAACTGTGAAGTAACGAGGTAAAACTTCCCTCCTTTTGCACTGTAGCTTTTTGATTACTTCTATAGTCTCTGGGGCAGGACTTCATAAAATGGGGAATGAAAAGTATGTTGTGGTTCAAGTGCTGGTTTCTGCAGTACCTCGTGCTCTACTGTGGGTGTTAAGGGAAGAATAAAGTGGCTGCGAAGAGAGCATCCTTATCCCCCCATAGGTGCATTCTATTCAGAATTTTCAAAAAGTAACTGAAAGTACCTATTCTAGTAACTTTCAAGAAACAAGGAAGTAAAATGTCAATTTTTGAATGTGGCTATAATGGAACTACTTTTTGGAAATGATTGTAGCTGTTTACTTCTTAAAGCCAGTGGGCTCATCATTACTATTTGGAGAATCGCATGGAACACTGTGACTCTTAAGCCTTCTTCTTGCAGACAGCTTTTCAGCAGTGATGCACCTTTAGGGGAAAATGCTCCCCACAGGTTAGTGACAAACCGTTCACAAGCCTCAGCAGCAGTGTAAGGTCTGGAAAAATTCCCCATGTGTTATGAGTGTTAGTGAATGAAGGCATGGCCTGGTGGGAATTATGATACAATTTGTTGCCTACCTAGCAAACATTATTTTTTCTCCCCTGTTTCTGAGTTATATTATCTAGTAATCAGGTTTTACTGAGAGTTTTTGTGCATTTACTAAGATTCCCCTTGTAACTATTTCTACAATCAGCTAGTGAATAGTTTTGCCCTCCCTCCCACTCTGTCATCACAATGCTCTGCTCTGAACCCGAGGGAGTCAACTGGCAACGGTAAAGTGGCCAAACATTTGCACTGATAAGGACTTGAGGCTTATGTAGGGGAAAGAGTTAGGCAAAGCCTCAGGCCAAGGTAACCCAACTGGGTTAATTCCGAACATAGTCAGGATTGGGCTTGGAATAAATCAAGGCCATATTTTCCTGACTCCAAATTCGCTTATTTGTGATTGCATGCTGTAAATTTCATTTTGACTTTAGGTATCACCATTATGTTCAGGTGGGCAGGTTGGCTACAGTCCACCAAACAACATGGTAAATAACATTTGTTATTTTTAAAGATCTCAAAAGAATCACTGTTAATTTTGCTGCCACAAACTGACAAAGCTAGACCTTGGAAAAATCAATTAAAATTAAGCACTCTCATGTTCTTCTGATTTAAGTGGGAGCAATATCGTTCATTCGTTTAGTTGTTTAGTCGTATCCAACTCTTCGTGACCCCATGGACCAGAGCACGCCAGTCCCTCCTATTTTCCACTGCCTCCCGTAGTTGTGTCAAATTCATGTTGGTAGCTTCGCAGACACTGTCCAGCCATCTCATCCTCTGTCATCCCCTTCTCCTCTTGCCCTCACACTTTCTTAACATCAAGGACTTTTTCAAGGAGTCTTCTCATGAGATGGCCAAAGTACTGGAGCCTCAGCTTCAGGATCTGTCCTTCCAGTGAGCACTCAGGGTTGATTTCCTTTAGAATTGATAGGTTTGTTCTCCTTGCAGTCCAGGAGACTCTCAAGATCCTCCTCGAGCACCACAATTCAAAGGCATCAATTCTTCGGCGATCTGCTTTCTTTACGGTCCAGCTCTCACTTCCATACATCACTACAGGAAAAACCATAGCTTTGACTATTCGGACTTTTGTTGAAAATGTCTCTGCTTTTTAAGATGCTGTCAAGGTTTGTCATCGCTTTCCTCCCAAGAAGCAGGCGTCTTTTAATTTCATGGCTGCTGTCACCATCTGCAGTTATCATGGAGCCCAAGAAAATAAAATCTGTCACTGCCTCCATATCTTCCCCTTCTATTTCCCAGGAGGTGATGGGACCAGTGGCCATGATCTTAGTTTTTTTGATGTT